AAGAAGAAAAGATGGCGGGAGAGAAAAAAGAAAGAAAGAGAGAGGAACAAGGGAAGGAAAGATGGAGGGAGGAAAGAAAGAAAAAGAAGGAAAGAAAGGTAGACAGAAAGAACAACAACGCAGACAGAAATGAGGAAGAGAGTCAGATGGTGGAGAACAAACTCCACGTTTCCTGAGGGACCCGTCACATGCCAGGAATTGCGCCGTGTCTGCACCTTTTCCTCTTATTCTCAACAACTCTGCCAAGTGAACATGACAAGGATGGGTGCTTTACAGGACAGGAGGGCAGGCAGAAGTGACTTGCCCGAGGTCATCCAATGGCCAGGCCCGGACTCCAGCAGCCGGGACACCACGAGGCAGCCGGCAGGATACCGGGGCCAGTGGGGGAGTCAGCGGAGAAATGCTGACATCAGTGTGCCCAAGGGATGGTTTCGGGAAGCCAAGTGGTCTCTGTCAACATGTCTGGGCTCCTGAAGGGGTAAGCAAGTATAGGCCCTTCAGGAAACTTCCTTCCTGACAGCAGCTTTTCTTGAGAATTGTGTGTGTCACACACGTGGCTTTTTCACGCCTACGGGCATGGCAGCCTCATCTGCTGAGGTCGGACTCGGAGCAGAAGACGGAGTCAGCTCCGCGGCTCCCTGGGGCCTGACACCTGGGCCAAATCAGGACACGCTGCAGTGGCTCGGTGGACATCGCCCAGGTTACTGGGAGCTCTGGACTCCAGTCCTGACCTTGAAGCTCGCTTTCTAAACTCTTGGTGCGTCACCCCACCTTCTGGGTTCATCTGACAGAGCTGGGGAGGGTCCGGGCTATTCCCGCTGAGACTCTGTGACTCGGAGCTGGCACTAGATGCTGCAGGGAGGCCTGTCCCTGACGCCAGCATCGGGAGGGAGGCCCACTGTGACATCCACGTTAGAAAAGGGAACCGGGCACCTCTGAGTGCATATGAGGTTCCTGGAACTTCCCTCTTAGAGACTTGGCTTCCTGATCTCTACAGTGGGGGTGGGATCATTCACGTCTCAGGGCTCTTGGGGACCTTAGAGCAAGACATCCGTTCATTAATTCCGCAACATTCCTGGACCCGTTCTGTGCCAGGCATAACGCCAGGTGCTCAGGGCCAGCAGTGAATGACACAGGCACGGCCTTGTCCCAGGGAGCTTATGGTCTAGGGAGACAGACATTAAATCAATAGCACTGGTCAAAGGGACAAGAAGAGGGTCTGGGCTGAGGGAAAGCCACTTGGGGTAGGACACTGTGTGGCCGGGAAGGGGACCAGCGGGGCTGGCATGGTAACTCTGTGTTTTACTCTAAGAGCAGCAGAAAGAGGGTGTCCAGTTTATGTTGGAAAACCTCTCTGGCTGCAGAGGGAAGGGGAGAAAGATTCGAGGGGAGTCAGGGGCCATCTGGGATACGGGGGTGGGGGGTCGTGAGCAAGAGGAGAGCTGGGGCTGGGAGCGAGGGGAGGCACCAAGCTCTGACTGCAGCCCCCCGGGCATCTGAAGCATCAAAGCCATGGGCCCAGGCACCAGGCTCTGCAGGAATGTGCCATGTCGATACCCCAGGTGCTTATGACTATTATCCTCCGGCCTTGGGAGGTTACCGAGTACAAGCGAGCGGCTGGGAAGATAACCAGAGAGCTCTAGGGAGGGGTCCCGAGACTCAGGGGTCTCCTCCCAGCTTCTCCTTAGCTTGCTTCGCACCTCAGACAGGTCACTTGCCTCTCGGTGCTTCAGTTTCCCCATCTGGTATCTACAGGACTAGCAGTGAGGTGATGGTCGAAACAGGGCCAAGTTCAAATCCAGGCAGTGTCCCCTTGAGGAAAGAGCCCAGGCTTTGAGGTGATACAGACTTGGGCTCGGACCCTAGCTCTGGCTGGAACTCTAGCTCTGCCCCTGTGGGAGGCTGTCGGATCTGGACCAGCTCCTTTGTTTCTGCGAGTCCCCTGCTGGTGGGCACTGCACTTTGAGAGCCACTGTTCTAGAATACGTAGGAGAGGGGGCCCTGAGCTCTGCTTACAGCCGAGCCCCTGACGTTGAAGCCAGCGGGTAGCAAGTCCCAGGTCAATGCTTAGAATGAATGAACTCTGAGGAGTTTCTTTTGGCTGGGGTGGAGGCCGGGCACATGCCTGGATACCATAGTGACGGAAGGTGGCAGGAAATGGGCAGGAAGGTGGTAGGGACCAAATCAGGCAGGAACAGAGAGCTGGGACATGTGGCAGGCTGAATAACGGCCCGCACACATGTCCAAGTCCTCACCTGAAAATATTACCTTATGTGGCAGATGCAATTAAGTGAGGGAATTTGAGATGGAGAGAGTTTCGAGGCTTAGCCACAACAATCATGTCTTCATAAGAGGGAGGTAGAGGGAGCTTTGGAGAAGGCCCTGTGATGTGACCAGGAGGCCAGAGGCTGGAGGGAGGCCAGAAAGGGGTCCTGAGCTGAGAGTGCAGGTGGCAGCTACACACCAGAAAAGGCAAGGAGAGGGATGCTCTTTGGATGCTTCTGGAAGGAACCCGTCCTGCCAACACCTTGATTTCAGACTTCTGACCTCCTGAACTGCAACAGAATAAACGTGTGTTGCTTTCAGCCACTCAGCTGGTGGTAACGCGTGGGAGCAGCCATGGGAAGCTGCCACGGGTTGTGTCTAGTAGCGATGGGAAGCAGTGGAGTTTGCTGAGCAGGCGCGATGTGGTGGGGTTTGTGTTCTAGGGAGCTCATGGGAGTGGCGGGGCAGAGAGGGAGAGGCTGGGAGCAAAGTCATGGAAGAGGAGGCCGAGCGGAGTGACGGTGGAACAGTGGGGTCAGGAGGGGCAGATAGCATCGTGTTGGGGTGCTGCTGGTTGGCCACAGGGAAGGGAGGACCGTCCACGGGGCCACCCTCTCTCCTGGAGTCGCCCCTTGTCTAGCTCTGCCCTACTCCGGCCAGGGCAGGCTGGCTCAGTTCCCTTCGGAATTCTTGGCTCAGGCAGACGACCCAACCTTGGCAGCGGTAAGGGCTCCGGGTTGGCGCTGGTTCTTTCCCCCAGCCAGAGAACAGGAAGAACATGCTATCAGTCAGCAGGGATGCTGGGAATCGGTCTTCCCAAGGGAGGCACGAGACCCCGATCACCCTGGCAGCCACAGTAGGAATTTCAGCCTCTGGTTGTTCTTGGCTTCCTCCACCCTCCAGGCCCTCCATCTGGCTCCCCCGTCCCTCTCTGCCCGCTGCTCTTGGGGGTGGGAGGACAGCCCACAGTCTCCAGGAGCACGACTTCCAGCCCCGGCCCCGGCCCCGGCTTTGCATGTGACCCCGGTGGGCACCGTCTCAGCTGGCCTTGGTTTCTTCACAGCCCCCCGCCCAGGGTGCCCACAAGGATCATAAGAGAAGGCGAACACTCATGCCCACTGCATGCCTGGCACTCAGAGGACAGTCAGTGCCAGAAGCTGCTATTCTGTTGCTCAGAGCGCAGCTTTGGCTGACTTACCAGCTTGTGTTCATTGGGGCAATCTCCTTGACTTCTCTGAGCCTCCGTTTTCACAGCTATAAAGCGGAGACTGAACAAGTCCCTACTTCACAGGGGGATCGTACAGCCTGTCTGCACCCCTCTGCTCACGTGAACTTCAGGTGACTCTGGGGGGGTGGTGGGGAGGTGAGCAGATGGCCCCTGAGGCGAGCTCCAACGTTCTGTGAGACAAGAAAACTAAGGCTGAAGTTGGGCAGGGGCTTGCTCAAGCTTCAGAGTGAGAGAGGACAGAGCTGGGGTCAGGACTGGGCAGTTGGCTTTCCATAACGGCTCACCCCCATCCACATACAAAATGCCACGTCGACGCCCTCACACACAGCATTAGCTCCTGGCATGTGGCGCAGATTGGACAAATGTTTGCAAATGAGTAAATGAACACATGAATGAGTAGATACATGAATGGATCGGTCCCATGGACCAGCAATCTGGGGTGGGGGGGGGGGCGAGGCATGGTCTGTGAGAAGAGAAAGGAAAGCAACATTTATCGAGCAACTTCTAAGTGCCTGCAGTTCTCCCAGCGCCCTTTCATTCACGCCTCTCAGCAGATGCCCAGGCTGGGAAGCTGGCCCCCCAGGCCGCGAGCATCCCCCGTGCCGCTCAGGTCTTTGGTGCGGTGTTTCGTGCAGCTCGGCACTGGCTTTGTCACCAGCGAATCTGTCCAAAGCTCGCTCTGAGTCTGTTTGCCTTTCGGCGTGGGCCCTCTGGCTAATGGAATCCACCGCCCGCTCTGGCACTTCCTGCACCCTCTCATCCAAGCGTCTGCACACCTCCTGACATCTACAGTCTCTTGGATTTCACTTTCGTGTCTCATGGGCCGGGGCCACAGCCCCTTTGTCTGCGGTCTCACCCTCTGGCCCACATCTTAGGGGCAACCAGAATCCTCTCTCCAAGGCCACAGATCTGCTCAGCTTGCCCTACCTTGGCTTCTAACCCCTTCATCTTTCCTAAGATCTACAGTACCGGTCCAAATGCTCAGCCTGGACTTCAAGGCCCCACCTTGCCAACTCCTCCATTCTCTCTCCCACTGGCTCGCACACGCCCACGGTCAGAGCTGGCACACAGTCGGTGCTCAATAAATGCTGGGCCCGGCTGGGTTTTTCATTTCCCCCACCACAGCCCCATCAAGCGGCAGCATTCGTGCATGGCTGTTTGAGGGCCGTCCCGGAGGGCTTAGTCGAACACTTGCGACTCCCAGGTGGCAGAGTCAGGCCTCAAACTTAGAACTCCTGACTGTAGCTGAAAAAAAAGGGGCTTGTGAGTTCTGGAATAAGGAGACCTCTGCCCGGGTCCCAGCGGCCCTGGCCAAGTCCGCTGAGAACTTTTAAAATGGAGCTGAAAAGTTCCACCTCTGGGGGCCGTTGGGAAGATTAAACAGGACAACGTCTGCGGAGTGCTCCCAACAGATCCCAGAACATAACCAGCACCCCCCGACAGCAGCCCCCTCGACCAGCGGAGTCCCCTCCCAGGGCCTCGCCCTGTGCACCAGTGGCCAGGGCTGTTACCTGTCTGTGGCTCCCTGGGGGGCCGTGGCATCTGTCCCACTCCACACCTGGAGCTTCAGGGGTTTCTCTTCCTGCTGCCTGGGTTCTCGGCTCTGGGTCCTGGACAGCTGAGAGTTGCTGGACCGCAGAGAGGCTTTGTGGGGGTGGCGGCCGGCAAGCCCGCAGCTGAAGAGTTGTTGGTAGCCGGTGCGGAAGTCTCTGTTCAGGGCAGCATAGAGGATAGGGTTCAAGGCTGAGTTGGCGTAGCCCAGCCACAGGACGATGGCTTCGAACACCTCGTTGACGGCATCGTCCCCTCTCAGCCCGCGGTACACGAACGCGGTGAAGTACGGAAACCAGCAGATGATGAAGGCCCCCATGACGGCAGCCAGCGTCACCGTGGCTTTGTGCTCCCTGATGGTGGCCGCCTTCCAGGAGCTGATGTGGTTGATCCTCTTGGCCTGATCCCGGGCGACCTTGAAGATGCGGTAGTAAGTGACACACATGACCAGCAGGGGCAGGTAGAAGGTGACCAGCCCGTCCACCAGCCCGTACACCTCGTTGACCTGGACTTTGCACTTGGGGGCGGCATGGTCGCCCTTGCTGGTCTCGTTCCGGCTGTTCCACCCCAGGTGGATGGACAGGAAAGACAGGGTGATGGAGATGACCCAGATCAAGACCAGGGAGATGGCGACCCGGACCGGGGTGACCAGCACAGGGTACCGCAGCGGGTCCATGACGGCGCAGTAGCGGTCGAGGCTGATCATGAAGAGGTTGAGAATGGAGGCCGTGCACAGCATCACGTCCAGGCTTGTGTAGATGTTGCAGAAGACTTTCCCGAAGCTCCACTTGCAGGACAGCTGGTAGATGGCCGAGAAGGGCAGCACCAGGAGGCCGAGGAGCAAGTCAGTGATGGCCAAGGACACGATGAAGCAGTTGGTCAGGTTTCGGAGCCGGCGGTTCAAGCCCACGGCCAGGCAGACCACCACATTGCCGGCGACGGTGATGAGGATGAGAACCGCGAGGACCACGCTGAGGCTGACCTTGCACGCAGTGGAGTCCAGGCAAAGGGAAGAGGCTGTGCCATTGGGAGCCATCCTGGGACCCTGTGGCTGTGTCCCCTGACCAGGGCCCCCGGCTGTGTCTTCCCAGCTCCCGATAGGACAATTACGCCAACCCCCAGGCTCCAGGCTCTCAACAGAGCCCCCAAAAGCGTGTCCAAACAGGGGGCTTCAATGACTGACCCAGCACTGTTTCTCTAGCAGCAGACAAAGCGGTGATGGGCATGAGTGTAAATGAAGAAGAAAGGCAAGTCCTTGAAGCCAAGTTCGTGGTGCAAACTCCAGTCCTCAGACCGTACCCTGAAGAGCGAGCTTCCTGCCGGGTTTTGTGTGGAGACTGAGGTACTGGGGCGTGTGTCTGGCGGCCGCTTTGATGTCATGCAGGAGCGACCCCGTGGAGACACGGCTGTATCCTTCTCCATAGCTGGCGCCTGCTCCCATTCACGGGATGGGCTCAGGGACTGGAGGTCTCTCTCTCTCTCCGGGGTCACTGGAGGGCAGGAGCTGAAACGGCAGATGTTGGATGTTGAGATCCGAAATCAGATCAAGACAGTGACCCGACGCCTGTCATTCCAGCACTTTGGAGACCGAGGAGGGCATCACTTGAGGCCAGGGGCTTGAGACTAGCCTGGGCAACAGAGCAACACCCTGTCACTACAAAAAATAAAAAAAAATAAACAAAGATAAATGCTCTCTGGCTGGGCACGGCGATTCATGCCTATATCCAACACTTTGAGAGGCCGAGGTGGGAGCAATGCTTGAGGCCAGGAAATCGAAGCCAGCCTGGGCAGCATAATGAGACTCCACCTCTAAAAAAAAAAACAAAAGCGACCTGATTCCACATACATTCTTCTAGATCTCAACCTCCTGGTAAGAAACCAGGAGATTTGGAGCCAGTCCGGGAACCTTTCCTGGGGAGGGACTGAGGCAATCAGGATAGATAGGAGGGAGGGGCAGGGGGCAGGATGCCCGGGGCTGGACCCAGGGACTTGTGAGAAATGGCTGGGAGGCCTAAGAACGTTTGCACTGAAAAGGAAGGATCCAGACACAGACTCTCAGCTGCATCTGCTTATTACCTGCTGGCTTCTGGCGCCCAGCCCCACAGGTGGGCATTCGCAGTTGATGAATAAATGATAAAGTGAATGAATAAATAAGCAAACATAAGGAACCCACTCTTAGAAAGTGCCGAGAACAGTATGTGGCGCGATCATTCTGCAAAACGACATCATGCCCTGAGCCAGGGGCCGACAAAATTTTTCAGCAAAAGAGTCGGGTAAGAAATATTTTCCGCCCTGCAGCCTGCACAGGGCGGGCTCGGTCCCAGGAACTCAATTCCGTGCCTGCAGCGTGAAAGCAGCCAGGTGGGCGACCAGCAAACAGGCCAGCGCGACTGCGCGCCCACCTGACTTTGGTGCAGCGCCCTGAAATCCAAATGTCATTTTCACATGTCACGGAAATCGCCTTGTGGAGATTTCCCCCCCCCCCCCCAGTGCTTTGAAAATGTAAAAACCTTTCTTAGCTTGCGGGCAGAGGGCCAAGTGCAGCCTGTGGCCCGTCACCTGTCACCTGTCACCCCGGTGGCTGGTCCACGCCATCTCTGCTCCGAGCACATCTCTGAATCTCACTGGTCTTATTTAACAGCACATGTGATCTCACATCCAGGTCAGCTGGTACGGAGCTCACTTGCTTCTAATGGTTGCATAACAGTCCATGGGGGCTCGCCATTAGTTTATTCTGTCACCCCCGCATCACCCTCTCGTGGGCCCTGGGGTGGTTTCTCCTCCCTCCCTCTCCCTGCTCCCCCTCCACTGCACACACCACTGCAATAAAATAGCTGCACACACAATGCCTCTTCTTAGTTCAGGAAGAGCCCCTGGTCACCGACAGTCTCCAAGGCTCCCTCCTCGCAGCCGGTCTCTGATTCCAGCGGGTGAGACGCGAGCCAAGACTGCTTCCTTCCCGGGTCCCTCCACTCGGGGGCTCATCCCGGTTTTCCAGAGAGCAGTGGCAGGCGAGCTCCCGGGCTCTGAGAGGGCGTGCAGAAATCCAGTCGATAGCGCAGCCCCCTCGCAGAAGCCAGTTACTCTCCATCAGACATAAATTAAGCCTCTCCCGGCAAAATCAAGTCTCTCCCTGCTCCTGCCTGGAGCAGTTTTGCAACCCAAAAATGCAACGCATCTTTTGAGCACAACAACTGTGCTGGTGCCAGGAACCGGGACCGGGGCTCCCATCACCAGCCGCTCCCCCCACCCCAGTCTCCCGGCCTCGTGAGCCGGGCCTCTGGGTATTATTTTTAGAAGATCTTTTCATTACATAAGTAGCCCAAACAGCATGGGTCTCACCACCACACTTAATTAACTTCGGAAGGGGCTGGCCACAGGGGTACTCCTTTTTGAGCATCTCTATTTCTGATTTTAAAAATTTCCTCTGAGTTTCCTTAGCAGCCGTCTATAGGTATTTGGACATTAGGCCGACATTTGGGTTAATGTCTGGGAGGGTCTTCAAATCTGAAGGAACCAGCCTCTCTTATCATCAGAAATGTCTTTATTTTTCCCTCCCTCCTTTCCCCCACCCCTTCCCTTCCCTTCTTTTCAACAAATATTTCTTTGAAAACCCACAATGTGCCAGGTGCTATTCCAGGTGCTGAGGGGACAATGGTGAAGAACCCAGCTGGGATTTCTTCCTCCGAGGCGTTTTCAAAGAAGAACCACTTCTGTATTTCTATTTACAGCTCTTGGTCACCTTTTGCAAGGGCGGCATGCTCTCGGTGAAGCTCCCTCCCTCCCTTCCATCCTGTCCCCCATGGGCCCAAGACTCACCCCTAGAGGGCCAAGCCACCCCCTATGGAGCACCCTTCAATGGCTCCTCTCTGCCTACAAGAAAAACTCATGTCATCATTGTCCGCAGCACAGCCAACAGAAGAAAGCGCTCTCTCGAACTTCCTTCCAAACTTCCAAAGTGATGACACGCTCACTACAGCAAAACCAAGTATCCCCGAGGTCTACAAGAAGGGCCAACTATCTGGGCCAGCACACACCTGAACCCTCACCCCTGGGAAGCAGGATGCTGGCTGTTAGGTGTCGGGGCGGGGGTGGGGGGGCTTCCATACTTTCCTTTGCCTCTGCGTATATGCAGGCACACGCAGGACGCTGCTCACACACGCCCTACTCGTTACTTAGCAACCGCCTTCCTTCATTCCTTCTAAAATCCCCCATTTATGGCGAGGCGCGGCTGCTCACGCCTGCAATCCCAGCACTTTGGGAGGCCGAGGCAAGAGGATTGCCTGAGCCCGGGAGTTCGAGACCAGCCTGGACAACATGGTGAGATCTCATCTCTACAAAAAAAAAAAAAAAAATCAAGAAAATTAGCCAGGCCTGGGGGCGCAAACCTATAGTCCCAGCTTCTTGGGAGTCTGAGGCAGAAGGATTGCCTGAAGCTTAGAGGTCAAGGCTACGGTGGCCGTGGTGGTGCTACTGCACTCCAGCCTGGGTGACAGAGTGAGACTCCCACTCAAAAATTAAATCAATCAATCAATCAATAAATTTCCCCACGTATAACGGATGCCCCCTAGGTCACTTCAGTCTAAGACTTTTCTTTGGGATCCCAGCCTGTGGCAATGTGACCACTATCATTTGAATATAGAGGGACAAGGATGTCTGTGTTAGCAGGTCTGCAAAGGGCAAAAGACACATGTTCAATAGCAGGAGATGATGGCTCGATGAAGAATGGCACGTCTTCTCATGCACGACAGTCCTGGACAAAGCGACATTATGCATATTACACAAAATTTCACTGAGTCTCACAGGAACCCCATGAGGAGGGGAAACCATTTCTCTCTCTCTCTCTCTCTCTCTCACACTCTTTTTATTTTGGAGACAGGGTCTTACTCTGTTGTCCAGGTTGGAGGCCAGTGGCTGAATCCCAGCTCACCGCAGCTTTGACATCCTTCCACCTCAGCCTCCCGAGCAGCTGAGACTACAGATGTGTGCCGTCTTACCCAGCTAACTTTTTTGTATTTTTAAAAATTATTTTTTGGCCAGGCTCAGTGGCTCAGCCTGTAATCCCAGCACTTTGGGAGGCCAAGATGCATGGAACGGCCTGAGCCCACGGGTTCGAGACCCGCCATAGCAACTTGGTGAAAACTCTTCTCTACAATAAATCAAAAATTAGCTGGGTGTGGTAGCACGCGCCTGTAGTTCCGGCTATTTGGAAGGCTGAGGTGGGAGGATCGCCGGAGTCCAGCAGGTCGAGGCTGCAGTGGCCGGGAGCGTGCCACTGCACTCTAGTCTGGGTGACAGAGTGAGACTCCAACTCAAAAAATATATATATTATTTTTTGTAGAGACGAGGTCTCGCTCTGTTGCTCAAACTCCTGGTCTCAAACTCCTGGGTGCAAGCAATCCTCCCACCTCAGCCTCCCAAAGTGCTGGGATTACAGGCGGGAGCCATCATGCCCGGCCTCACGGTCTCCACTTCACAGTTGAGGAGACTGAGACTCAAAGAGGCCAGGTGACGCCCTCGTAACTGCCAGAGCCTGGCTCGGACTCAGCCCAAACCCCTTGACCCGCCTGTAATGCCTGTTCTTTGATCAGATGTCAGCCCATCTTTCCAACTGGTTATCCCCCAACCCTCTTGTTTTATCCCCTGATTTCACAAGCATCAAGGCAGGGGAGTGTGTCCCCAGATGCATCCTGGCTTCTCATGCTTGTGTCCACTGTCCCCACGCCCAGCGTTCCCCACTTCTTGGTTGTCACCTTGATGCCACCTCCCGCGCCCTTCCAGCATGCCTGGGGGCAGGAGGAATCTCCCCTGCACTTTGTCTAGAGTTAGAGTCTGCAGCACCTGCCATCCAGTGGCATTAACGTGGCTCAGTGGCATTTAATTCCTCCTGGTGCTGAAGAATGCCAGACCCCTTCTGACTGTGTCCTGTTCCCACCACCCAAAAGGCCCTTCCTTGCCTAATGGGCTCTTACTCTTCTTTCAAGCCCTGGCCTTTTCTGTCACCTCCTCCAGGGTGTCTTCCGGGGGGGGGTGTCTCCATCTTCCCTTACTTCCACCTCCCACGTGCACCCTCCTCTGGCAAAGGTTTGTGCTTTCTGGGGTGGACAGGAAGGGAGGTATTCCCTTAACCCCACTGGGTGGAGTTTTGCGTTTTCAGGGCCCTGGGAGAACTCTCCACTGGGTGGGGTCCTGGGTGATGCACCAGCAGCCCACGTCTCCCCGGGAGCTGAGTTGTGGTGAGATCCGGATTTTTCCAGATCTTCCAGTGGCCCAGAGGGCGACGCTCCCCACAGAGGTGGAGCCTGTAGGCAGACCCAGAGCCACCTGTTGCCACAGTCTCCCTCCCACGAAACCGCAGAGAATTGCTGTTGGGGTAC